CCAGGCGGACTGCGGGCTGGCCTTGACCCAGATTGCCTTTTTCAGAGGCACGGACGTTTGACGAGGACTCGCTGGCATAACAGTGCATAGCACGTGCGTTCTAATAGAACTAATTTGTACAATATCTCTTGGTTCAAAGCATGCTACCTATTACACAGAATGCAGCCGTATGCGAAAACTCCACTGAAACAAGACATGTTGAACTCAGTATGCACTATAGGGACAGGATATTGCTATCGCGATCAACTCTTAAGGCCCAAGCTTAAGGATCCGCCAATCTTCTTCTTTTTTTAATTCCTTATAAAAATAAATAAAAAAACTGCTCTTAGCTTTTCGCCAGGAAGAGGTCCCTTATGTCAAGCAAGTTTATTTTTCATTGCATGTACACGGCAACAAATTTGCACATGGCAACAACGTTGTTTGTACACGGCAACAAGTACCGGCTTCTTCTTGTAGAGTTGCACAGCTAACTTTTGCCCAAGCCAAAAACTTGATGCACAAAGTCTGGGAGGCAGATGCATTCCACCGCATGTACATTGTAAATTTTCATAAAAGGGAACACGTGAGTACGCGGCCTGCGCGCTCCGGTGGTATGCGGTATTAGGCGGTATAAAGTTTTGCTACCTTGCCCCGCGGCGGTGGTCTAGTGGCTAAGGTACTCGGCTGCTGACCCGCAGGTTGCGGGATCAAATCCCGGCTGCGGTGTCTGCATTTTCGATGGAGGTGAATACGCTGTAGGCCCATGTGCTCAGATTTGGGTGCACGTTAAATAGCCCCCTGTGGTAAATTTCCGGAGCCTTCCACTACCGTGCGTCTCTCATATATATGGTGGTTTTGGGACGTTAAGCCCAACATATATCATCAGTTAGGCTACCTTTAGGCAGCAGCCTAGTTGCGCATAACTTTTCCTTGTACCACTCGCGCCGCTATTCGGTGAAAGCTGTCACGTGTTGCAAAGTGACATAAAATGTTCGATTTCATGTGGTGAAGCCAACTTTAATTGCACGATAGCGCGGCGCCCGCGCGTTCTCCGCGCGCGCGCGGACTGTTTTCCGGCAGTTCCATCGTGCGCGCGCACGCGTCGAATGGGCGCTTTGTTTATCAGCTCAATACCTTGGCGAAGGGCTCGAAAGTACGTAGTATTGGCAGTTGTTCGCAACATATGACTGTGTGTAGTGCACCCACTGCCGGCAGCTATTTGCCATCCGTACTATTTTTACCATCGACTTGAATGTAAACATTCGACAGAAGTCTGTCTGGTTGGGTACGAAACTGGGAGATGATTTAGACTCCAACCAAAGGTTTTGAAGAAACTTTGGACGTTGGACGCTGAGACGTTGAATCACCGGATAAATTTCGAGGCACCGGCCATCCATGAAAGCGAGCCGAACTGGAGGATAAGGTTATTACTCAAGTCGTGGCACATACAGAGGACAGCCCATAACATCAACCACTCTTTCGGAACACTTACCCCAGTGTACGCACATGGACTGTGCTCCACGGCAAAACGAGATACCGAGAGAGAGAAGGTCATTATCCGCCCCGCGAGTGCTTTGAAGACGCCGATGCTACGTATTCTCCGCAGTCACCCCTGAGGAAGGAACCAAGTCGGTTTCAAAACGTCGGGTTTCTTCAAAATTCTTGGTTGGATTCTAAATCATCTTCCTATTTTTACCATCGTAAAAATAAAATTTCATTGAAAAGCTCTTGCGTCTCTGTCTGTTCAGCATGAATTGAAAATTTCAATACACAGGGTTCCTTATTACATGCAAAGATGACTTGGTGGCGAAAGCCAGCATGCATTCCCATGAAGATTCGCTGTGGTGCTGGTTACGTTCTCAGTGCACTTATTTCATTCTTGATTCACCCTTAATTAACTTTGGGTTTATCTTATGCACTCAGCTTTTATGCATCGTTTTCTCAATTGTCTTATTCTTGTTCATTTGAAGAATTAGCACTGGTTTGGAAGATACGTTGCTTTAACTGAATCCTATCCTACGCAGACGACACTGGCTAACTATTTTTTTTTCAGGTACGAATGTTAGTCATTTCGTAAATACAGCTAACTCAACATTACAAAAGATATAGAGCAGGACCCTTGAAAATTGTTTACTTACAAATTGTTCCAAAACAAAAGCTGTTCTTTTTCGCTCCAAATTCCCCTAACGAAGTCACGGAATGCTACAATGTCATGTTAAATAACAGAATAATCAAATTCTCTTCCATCGTGAAGTTTTTGGGCGTTGTTTTCCTTGAGTACATGAAATGAGACTATCATACAGAATTTTTAAACAAAAAGCTTTGCAAAGTCTTAGGTGTCTTGAGAAAATGTCAGGGTCTATTGCCAGTTCCTAAAAAAAAACTTCTGATATTTAATGCGCTCTTTACATCACATCTGAGTTATCGCAACTTAATTTTGGGTAATAGAACAAAACAATCTAATAATAGTTTTAGTGTCTTACAGAAAAAAGCTCTACGTTCTGTTGCTAACCTTTCTTTTAATGCCCATATTTGACAGATATTTGTGAAACATAAAATAATCAAATTAGACTTGCTCTACTAATATTCCTTAGTTATCTCCTTTTGATCTAATTCCATAAGGTAGCGGCTATATACGTAGTTCAGCTAACTTACAATTAAATCCTTTGACGCGCCTAAACCGACACTCTGAACATTGGCATTTGCCGAGACGGCACACAAATCATGGTTTTGAGACATTGCGTTATTGCTTGCCGAATACACTAAAAAATATTAAGAATTAATTGTGCAAATACTCGTACGCTCTCTTATACTTCTATCTTAAGCATACTTTATTAGTTTATGGGCGTAGTATTATTTTCCGTTTGTATACTTCTTTCTTCCGATGTTTAGCATGTGCGCCCCGCCACGGTGGTCTAGTGGCTAAGGTACTCGGCTGCTGACCCGCAGGTCGCGGGATCAAATCCCGGCTGTGGCGGCTGCATTTCCGATGGAGGCGGAAATGTTGTAGGCCCGTGTACTCAGATTTGGGTGCATGTTAAAGAACCCCAGGTAGTCAAAATTTCCGGAGCCCTCCACTACGGCGTCTCTCATAATCATATGGTGGTTTTGGGACGTTAAACCCCACAGATCAATCAATCAATCATGTTTAGCATGTGCGCTGCTGATTTGGATAACTTTGTATAACTTCTTTGTTTCGATGCAAAGAATGGGCATTGCTAGTTTAAGCTGTCTTGTGGTTTACTTTGTTTCTGCCGTTTTGTTGTCACAGTGAACATGGGTTGTGGGGTCACTGTCAAGCTGTTTTATGCGGTTTTTTTTAATCCTGTCCCAGCCACTTACTGTACAACTGTACGTGGTAAATAAACTCAACTCCACTCAACTCAATCCTCCCGTGCACGCGTTAGTTTCATTGTCAACCGCCTTACTACGCCCACAGCAGCAGGGCAAAGGCCAGTCGCGTGGCTAGGAAGTAGCACACCAAGCCTGTGCTCCCCCCCCCCCCCGCCGAATATTTGCGCCATTGCGTACAGAACCCAAAATGACCCTTGACGACATCTGCCTATTAAATAAAAAAATCTGCCTATGCCCCTGATCGAAGGTGACAAGTTGCATTCGTCATCCAGATACTAATCGGATGTGCTGATTGTGTTGTAAATGAATGTTGGGTGATTTCTGTAATGGTTATTCAGTTTTTATTCTTTCATGCATTGCTTTGTTATGAATATTTTTGTATGTATTTTAGAGTTGTGATTCTATTATTTGCTGTCATGGGCCACATGCGTGTTTCTTTTTGTATTGTCGCTTTCCGCTGCCTGTAACTTTTGTAATTTTTTAGAAATTTGTAGTTTAGATTTTTTTTGGGTGAAGTTGCCAGTCAAGCTGTGAAATGCAGATTTTTTCCCTTCACACCTAACCACGTATACAGTGTATTTTTTTTTGTGCTTTTCACGCGGTTGAATAAACTCAAACTCAAACACAAACTCAAATCTGCAGAAGGGTGAGATAGCTTTTCCAAACGACGCATGAGATAATAGGGCTGAGAGTTTGTATTTTTAGTCCATTTATGACGATTTGTTTGGTTTTATGTTGTCTGTGTTATGAACACGATTTTTCTGAACGAAGAAAAGCTCCAAGTAGCACGTCGTCCTGTGTCCCTCTTTTCTTGATGGTCGTGTTAATCACCACTGCCCCCCCCCCCCCCCCCCTCGACCCCTCTTACACTAGCTAGAATAGATAGTGTTGTACACAAGCACAAAGCGTTGTTGCGAAGAAGAAGCCCGTGACATTATGTAAAAGATGTTTCTGATTGAATGAGTACGCAGGGTAAAAGAAATGTGTTTGCCTTTTTTTTTTGCCGGTGATCGACTTCGTATGTTCCCAGTACGTAATGATTTCTATGTATCACTGCCACACGTTCCGTCATCGCAAGCTCCAACCAGTATTCCAGTTATAGGCTTAGAAAAGTGGAAATCCAGGGGGCAATAACGTTCGCGAAGGGCAATAGAGGTGGCTGTTACGAAATGATGTTGATGGTTTCTCATACAAGACTCATTTTTGACCCTCATAATAGCTTTTGTCCATTCAGGGCAAAGTGTACATCTAATGTGTTCAGCTTACATGCAGACGATCAAATACATCACCTCTCTTTCGCGAAAACAAGAAAACAAATTTAAGAAAAGAAGAAACATCAAGTCTAACATACAAGTCACTCGAGGAAAAGAAAGAAGTAAATGCAACGAAAAGTTGCACATAAGCGCGAAACACGCGTCTAGCCGGCTGCGAGCTCAATCTTTCTCTCGTACACAGCGCAATCTCATCAGCGGAGTCTTTCTCGCCGGGACGGTTCCTATCGGCCCGTCTCTGGTTCCATACACGCTGCGTAGCCTTGACGCTCACTGCGCGATCTCCGGCGAGTCTCACGTGACGGAAAGGTCATGCGAATCTCAGACGCGACCGATACGCATCACGTGGTTCGTCTAGGGTCACCCTTTCCCACCAGACGATCCTTAGACTTCCAAACCGTCTGGCATAGCCTTTGTCCCGACTAGAGGGACACCACTACGCTCGACACAAAGCCATTGGACCGGACTTGGGCCTGGTGAACCCACCCGGACTACTGCGTCATCGTGAACACCACGAAGGTGCTTGGGACCTTTGAGGAACCCTTCGACACTTAGGACAGTGCCTTACGCTAAGCCAATATGCGCACGTCGGTGGTAGTTTACTTCCTCTCGGCTGTTGCCTTCGCGGTGTCCCAGGATGTCTGGCGCTACATGATCCCGGGCGAGACGGACGCATTTTCCGACAAGATGATTCAGTACATAAACTACCTCAACACGACGTGGAAGGTGAGATCCGCATCAACAACGTGGCTTGCGCAGTTTGACCTCCCACAGCACAGTCACTTAGAAAAATGATTTGTGCTTTACTCATTATTGTCTTCTCAATTACTGGGGACGCAATTGTACAAAGACAGCCAAAAAGCAAGAGAGAAATAATTGAAAAGAAAAATAAACACGGAGAAGTGGTACGCAGAAGCCGGCTTGGATGTTACCAAAAAGTTCAATATCTTGTTTACTACAGTGCCCTGAGTTTAACGTGCAAAAGCAAAAAAAAAGACAAATCGTTATTTGCGACAAATTTAGGTAACTAAAGAATACGTGTACATAGGCTGAAATAGAAGCTAGTACAAATACCTTAGCCAACATTGTTAAGTTTCAATAGATTTTAAGCCCTATTAGGATGGGCACCACTGGGTGATTATTTTTTTTTCCCGTTATCGTCTTTGCCATTTTTTAACACACAAATACGCACACTTTTTTGATAAATCTCTTTCTCCCTCTACCTGCCTTTGGATGTAGGCTGGCCGCAATCCTGGCTTCGAAGATCCCGCATACGTGCGTAGCCTTCTTGGAGTACATCCGGAGAACCAGAGGTACCAGCTTCCCGAACGGAGGCTGGACCTCAGTTCACTCGGTCCCTTGCCGGAGAACTTCGATTCCCGAGAAAACTGGCCCGAGTGCACCACCATTGGCGAGATTCGGGACCAAGGTTCCTGTGGGTCATGCTGGGTCAGTACTCTTCGGCACACGTTTAGCCTGCCGTTTACTGTAGCTGCCCCTTTTCCCAAGGAACGGCTACGTCTGCACATTGCGAAGACTAGGCAATAAATGATGGTTTCGCCGGAGATTTTATTCCGGTGAAAACAGCATATAGGTCCGCTCCTTACGGTGCAACTGCGGAGTTTACAGTGCAACTTCTTTTGAATGTGTTTCGCTTTGAAGCTGGGTCTACATGAGTGTCGTCATAGCAACAAACACTAGCAGGGTCGGTTTGTTCTCTCCCTTGGACAAATATTTAAGCGTATAGACTCCCTTGCGAACCTCTCCTAGTTTCGCTGCTGTCTAACCTCTGCTGTCTAACCAAAGTTTGTATTTTATAAATAAATAAATATAAATAAATAAATAAATAATAAATAGGTAAATGAATAAATAATAATAATAATAATATTAATAATAATAATGAAGAAATGCAGCAGAGCTGATGCGATAGTACCTAACCTCTGTCATCCAATATTCCATACGGAGGCGCCTTCTTCCGTTCACCTGTAGTCTGCCCTTCCGTACTATAGTTTCTAGCTTCCAGCCTATATATATATATATATATATATATATATATATATATATATATATATATATATATATATATATATATATATATATATATATATATATATATATATATATATATATATATATTATTTCTCTGACGAAGGCTGGTCCACCAGCTGAAAACGTTTAGTAAAGACGCTTCCACGAAAGTTTCGTCGCCCCTTTTTTGCCTATATATATATATATATATATATATATATATATATATATATATATATATATATATATATATATATATATATATATATATATATATATATATATATATGCGCACATGTGGTCAGTCCATAATTGCTTATGTCATCGCGCTTCCTTACATCCTCGTATCGTTTATCGTATCTTATATTGTATTCGGACAGGCTTCAGTATGATTCAGATGAAGACCAAGGAGACCCGCAGAACACAAAGGAGCGCTATGTGTTTCCTTCGGTGTGTTCTGTGTGTCTCTTTGGTCGTCGTCTAAATCGCGCTGAAGCTTCTCCGAGTGTGTACCAACACGCCCAAGTTAATATATTGTATCATCGTATCTCATATACTCATTATATCATCTCGTATCTCATTATATCATCGTAACTTCATGTATAAAGAACCCTGACTGACGCAAACGTCGAGCACTCCAAGGAAAAGAAAATGACTGATTAGCTGTCGCTCTTTAGTGAGTCCTGGCTTGTTTTGAGTGTTATATAACTCTCTTTAAAAAAAAACACACATTTTAACTCTCTTTTCCAGAGAGAAAGAGATGAAACATTTATTACTGCTTCCTATCGGTAACTACAATGATCTGGAGCCTGAACTGACACAAAATATAGGCACAAATGTGGCTGGCTCTTTTGTAAGCTGCAACTAACAAAAGAAAAGGAAATAGAAAAAGAAAAGAGTAGTGAATGTCTTATATACTTCACAGCCACGAATTTATAAGCCTTACAGGGAGACGATCTAGACGCCTATCCGCAACATGTGCGCATATTCGATCGAGCACGTGTAGTGACGATGCTCTCGCATGATATTTTGCATCGCGGTTGGTGCTGCTGTTTGAGATGAAGAGAAGCCATCTTGGGAGCTAATGATTTTTCCACGCTTGCCTTGGACGACAAGCTAGCCATGTGCCGACGGCAAAGTCAATATAAGGGAGCTTGAGGAGGTACCACAGCCTAGATCAATAGCAGTGGAGGATGGTTAATCATATCGCTACGCCTGGTTTGCTAGCTTACGTTGGGGTAGAAAAAGAATGGATGATAAATTAGGAATATATATATATATATATATATATATATATATATATATATATATATATATATATATATATATATATATATATATAGATAGATAGATAGATAGATAGATAGATAGATAGATAGATAGACCTAACAGAGAATAATGCCAAGGAAAGTATAGGCGAATTGTTTTTAGAGCGAATTGTAATGTAGATATGAAGAAGGAAAAGTGGGTGAAAAGATAACTTGCCGTGGGCAGGAACCGAACCTGCGACCTTCTATTAACAGTGTACCACACACGCCGCCATGGCTACAGATGGCGCTGACTGACACTCCCGCGCTTAAATTCACATATAAACCCAATAAAGTGGCTGGGAGGATGGCCGCCGTGGTAGTTCAATGCTAGGGCACCGAATGCGTTATTCGAAGGTCGCACAGTTAGTAGACAGTAAAAACTATATACACTTCTAGAAGAATCATCTATCCATCCGCCATGGTCGAACATTTTTCTATGCTATATTTTTAGCGTTACTATATGCAAACGTCAACTAAGCGATAGCTTTCTGATCATGAGCACGAGCCAACGGCAACCGCCGACAAAAGAGTGCACGTTTCTTACAAGTTCCTTTGGCACTCGGTGCTGCGGTAACTTCGCATACGGCTGTCGCTCGAATGTCGAATGCCTTGTTTCAAGTATCCAAGGGTTTAACGTCACCAGAGTGACGGTAGCAAAAGGAAAGTCATCAGAAGCAGTCGCGTGCACTACTGTAGCGTAAAAGCCTTGCCCTTCAACGGGGTGCGCGGAGGAGCGTTTTGCTCTCACTTATGCATCCATCCGCAACGTTTACTCTGTTCGCGATGCATTATGCATAACCAAACGACCATTTAATTCGTTCTGACCCCGCAAAGGCGCACGAGGAGGAGGGTGTCTCTTATCCTTCTTTTGGCAACGTAAGACGCGTACATCAAAACCACGTTGGCGCTTCACGTGATGGCCTTCGTCATTAACTTTTCGCCTGTTTCGCACAATGCTTCTACTTTGGGGTCATTTGTGGACGTCTGCGGTCACAAAACGGGCCTCCGAGTAAAACGATAAAGAACTTTCTGTGTGCCGTGGTAGTTTGAACGTCGTGCATGGTCTTTTGTATAGGCGAATACGTGTGACGTCAGCGTCTCCTCTCGTGTTTTGTTTTCATAGTAATCAAATTAAAATAGTGACCCGGATGTCATATTGGTAGACTTAAGTGTATTATACATCGTAAGGATACAAAATACATTGGTGGCAGCCGTGTGCAATATAGTCACGACGCAATGGAAAACAGGATGCACTTAAGCAATACAATGAAAGGTCTCTTTACTGATTCGGCATTCGAGGGGTTTTACCAACAAACATTTTAATCAATCAATCAATCAATCAATCAATCAATCAATCAAAACAGAAGAGCAAGAAAGTGAGCGACATCGCAAACGTGTGGCTCAAGTAAGGTATAGAGAGCTTGAGCTACGACTTTGTATTGTGTTGCCTTCTTACGGTTGTTCGTGCCACCAAAACAAACATTGTTATCAATCAATAAATTGTAAGAACACATGGCACAGCCATGTTACCATGCCGACGCGTCAACACTCCGTTCGCATCTCTGTGAGCAAGGCCTGCCGACACAGTCGCACGCCGAGCCAACGAACGCTAGCAAACGACCATTGACCCGACCACGCGCAACTAATGTTTTAGCTGCGCCATATCAATTGCCACACACGGAATTATAGATAAGCAACACAGTGGTGCGTGGCCTGCTGATCTGCGAACAACGTTTGTATACTGCGCGCCCTTTTCCGCGCGTGAACACGCATTGTTGCGAATAATGAATGCAAAGGGGGGCCATTCGACTCCCGAACGAGGGCGCCCCACGGCTTGTTTATACACGGCTAGGAGTACGCGCCTAGTGCTGTTGCCGGCGAACAAATGGCTTGGCATTATAGCTTACGGGTGACAGGTGCTTGTAGAATAATGTCTATACGCAAATGGCGCGCTGTGCCTTCCTACAGCTAGTACACGCATTTGCATATCTCCCGGTCGATCTGTCTTGCCACTCGTCACATTAGTACCTCGTTGAAAGCGCCCCGCCGCAGTGTTCTATTGGCTAAAGTACTCGGCTGCTGACCCGCAGGTCGCGGGATTGAATCCCGGCTGCGTCGGCTGCGTTTCCGATGGTGGTGGAAATGTTGTAGGCCCGTGTGCTCAGACTTGGGTGCACGTTGAAGAACCCCGGGTGGTCGAAATTTCCCGAGCCCTCTATATGGCGTCTCTCCTAATCATATGCTGGTTTTGGGACGTTAAACACCACAAATCAATCAACCTCGTTAAAATCATCGAATCAGCAAGCGAATCGTTTTTGCGATCGCGCGAACTGTTATGCGAGCACGATAATAAAGATGAGGGTGTAAAACAGCATCCATTCATGCTCCTCTTAATGACGTCGCTATACAAGAAGATTATCAGAATGGCGAGTTCACGTTTGACGTTCATGTTCACGTATATAACGAGAAAACACATTTTTGTGGGCAAAAGAGTCCGACTGTCTTGCAAGTTCGCTTTTGGATGCCGTGCGGCTTGCAATGATCTCCTTCTCGACAACCCCAGATTCATGTGCCTCGTGACGAAATGGCTCAAAAAGCGCCAGTGCAAGTGACTGCATTGCATTAGCATTTCCCCCTCTTTCCATGAAGCATCCCTCCCAGCAGCATGGCAAGAGGAGAGAGGGGAACGAGTGCAAGCAGGTGGTAGGATAAAAGTGGAGAGAGTAAGGAGAAAAGTGGAGAGAGTAACGCTCAGCACGATCAACGCACAAAAAAGAAAGCACAAGAAAGTGCACGATCCCAAGTGCTGTCTAACAACTGAAGGTTTAATGGAAGAAACGTGTCATATATATGCAAACATGAAGACATAAAAAATGTTGACAACGCCCACCAACTACGTAATCAAGTATGCTGTAGATACGAAATCTGAGCACCTGTGAGAGCAATCAAAGGCTGGCTCACTGACTTGTATGCTGCTTTTATGATTTCTTATACGCTTCAGCAATTTCACACGTGCGTTGGTCTCTATGCCTCATCAACCCAGCGGTTTTGTTTAACTCAGCTGCGCAGCCGCACTGCCGGCAACGGAGGGCTAGGTGCGAGGATTGTGAA